TATCTCTTATATATGTCTCATTAAATCGTCAAATTAAATTCCATTTCTTCTTATATTATCATAGATGATCCGAAAGAGATTTAACGTGAAATTTAAAGAATCTTTAAATAACCAACAAATAAACAGTGAACGTAACGTATCTATCTCTGATAGATCGTTCGATCAACGAAGACGAAGAAAACATCGTGAGAAGCGAGAGCAGTTCCGGAGGTAGTTCCCCATCTGATCTGAGGAAACGTCTTCAACATCATCCATCGCCGAACGAAGCCGCGCGTCTCGCCAATCGCGTGATTAGCATAAGCCGTCGTCTTTCCCGGAAACGAGACTATTATTTTCACGGTACGACGAATCGAATCGAGGAGAACATTGAGAGGGAAGAGAGAGAAGAACGGGAGACCGTCTATTCGAAAAGATCGTACAGCGATCTGAAATCGAAAGACGCTCGGACTCGGAGAAGGGCGAAAATTCGGTTGGAGAACGAGAGGAATCGAGCGATGGTCGTTTCAAAGCCGAACGAGATATGCCCACCTGATTTGAAGAACGATTCGAACAATGGCCAAAGATCTGGTAGAAACTCGTTGCTCGACAAGATGGAAGGGATCAAGGAGGAGAGTTCCGAGCAACAAACGTCGTTTGGTATCGATGTATTGACGAGCGATCCCCAACGATACTCGCCTTTATCGTCCAGATTGCCGAGCACCTCTGGTCTATATCGCAACCAACAAGACGAGGGAAGCAATGATTCGTCAAGATCCAGGGGAAGCGCATCGTTCCTTCATCTTTATTCCAGCGCCTCTTGCGAGAATTCGCCGAAAAACAGGATCGAGTTGCAACCACTTTCGCCAATTTCTATAAAAAATTCGCCGCAAAACAAGTACAGGCCTTGCCGCGGTGTGATCCTGCAGAACCTCAGCTCGGGCAGCGAGGCCGAGTCCGGTTTTGAGGTTATGTCGGACAGGATTGGTATGAAGAAGAAGATCGACCGTCTGATCCCGATCACACCTCAAGAAACTGAAATTTCACTTCATTTATGCGGCAGTCCGAAAATTCAGAATATAAATAATAGCCCATTGTCCGTACCTTTATCGTCGAGAAAATCGTCCAATTACGTCCTCGTCAAATCTTCGAGAAACGATTATATGGAGAACATCGTCGCGTCTCCCGTTTCGGGTATGAATTATATCGAAAACAAATTTCAACAACCGAGTTTAAACGATCCTCCTCCGACATACGCGTTGAATATGAGAAAAAATCTACCGCGCGACAGATCTTTCTACAGAGCACTGGACACGTCGAGAAGCGATTGCAGTCAAGACATGAGGAACAGCGGAGTGGGGAAAAGCGGGGTAGATGAACCGTTATTCTTTTCGGCGAGAGAGGAGACGATTCGCGATTACAATAGAGAGCGCTTCGAAACGAAACCGTTGCGTGAAACTTCGTTTTACCCTATCTCCCCCCGCGTTCTGCCGAATCCCGAAACTTCGAGAAACGTGACGTCATACGACGTGATCAACATCGAGGAAAATTTTGCAGTCGATGTGAACACGAAGAAAAATTGTGACATTATTTTCGATAATCAAACGGAAATGTCCACGAATCAATACGTCGATCCTACGAATTCCAATCCCTGTGCTAATCAGACTTTCGTTTTAACACCGCGAACTATACGATCACCGGAAATAATATTGAAAAGTCCAATAACGTACGAAAATCCTTTAGACGCGAACAAATCAGAATTTTATCCGTCCAATATCACGAACACGATAGCTCTCAAGGAAGCGATATCTAAACGTATATTAAACTACGAGAGCGATAACGAGAATAAAAATTCTCAATTGCAAAACATCATGCTCCCGTCGGAATTCAAGATCTGTGGTTCTAGCGAGATTCAGAGCAGAACATCCTCGTTCACGGAATTTTTCGCGGGCGACTCGACGAAATCGCGGGAGAATATATTCTCTCCGGAATTCATGAGAAACAAGGAGGAAACCCGTATCCTGGACGAGGATAAGATTAACAGCGATCAAGAATTCGTGAACGTTCCCACTCTCGTCCTGAACTCGCAAGAGGTATCCTTCTCCACGTCGCCCGCCAGCAAAATTTGTTCTGAAAGACATTTGGACACGGACACGTTGATCATGGCATTGTCGAACGCGTCCCTGGATCAGAAAGCGACCAAAGACGTTTCAGAGAACACGTGCAGCGAGTCTTGCCCGGACAGCAAAACGATATCGAGGCCGGACTCGTTCGACAATTTACAAATGGATACCAATGTCGAGTCGAGATTGAAGTCCGATGAGAGTCACACAAAACTTATAACATCGAGGACGTCTTGCAGATCGTCGTTCCTCAGCATAAGATCCAAGATACCCGTGAAAATTCCCACGGATAGAAGTAGAATGTCATTAACGAGCAAATATAGCGAGAGCGAGAAACGGACGTTCAGCCAGAGAACAAATTTGAACGATTCGAGCAGACAAACGTTTGGCAGTAACACGTCGTCGCCTGAAGGTTATCGATACGAGTCTGAGAGGAGTAACGAGACGTGCAAATCGCACGAGAGCTCTCCATACGCGAAAAGTTACGAGGATATTAGGAACAGTGGCGAGGTTACGTATAGACGCATGAACGCGACGGATACGATGGAGCAAGAGAAATATTCTGATTCGAATTATGCGAAAAGTGAAAGGGAGAAAGGGAGGTTGGAAAATGTGGAAAAATCGACTTTGACGTTGGAAGCTGTTCCATCCAAAACTTGTTTACCTTTGCCGTGCGAAGTAAGCAAGGAAAATAAAGAGGGAAAAGAAGGGGATCAGAATGCTTTCGTGAAATCTAATGTTAATCGTGTGACGAGGAGTGATGGATTTAGATTGACTGATTCCGCGGAGAATTCGAGAAAATCTGAAAAGAGCGGGAAATCAAAGTGTGTGGAGGACGTTATTTCCTCGAACGACGACTCGGATAGTTCATCGTCGCGTGATTACAGTGTTCAAAAATCCGTAAAAGGGATTGAAGTGTACGAGGAATCTTGTAATTTCATTTCATCAAGAATCGCTCCCACAGACTCGTCGACAAGTTATCGAAATAAGCACGTGAACGTTTATGAGGGGGAAATTTTCGAGAAGATAGTCGAGAATAGGAAACCGCCGAATTTGTTCGAGAATCAGATAGGGGACGGTGGCCATGAGATACTTATGGAGGATTCGGATAAATTGAAATACGAATCGTTGAACGCCTCGCCGGACGACGAGGAGGTGGTCAAAACGGAGATAAATATCGAGAGGGAAAATTACAAGCCGCAACGATTTTCTTTGGAAAAATTGGCAGCCGAACAATTCCGAAGAACCATGAATTCGGAACAGACGAAAATTATTCAATCGGACACCGCCACGTTCTTCCCGACCGATAAATTTTGCGAGATGCCACAATTCATTCTCTCGTGTTCCTCCTCGACGCCTAAATTGCGCCACGACAAGTCGAAAGAGTCGCCACGTTTCAAGAAGAAGAGCCAAGACAGATTCCCTTTTACGATTTCGGAAAAAACCAGCATCGCCTCGATGAAGTTCAAAGTCCCCGGCCGACTCGGCAATTTGGACGAGGACGCGGAGAACAAAGGCTATACACTGGACATGCATCCAAGCATAACTAGATTGGCAGGCTCTGGATTCGAGGATTCACCTACGGAGATAATCAGTTACGTGGCGCAGACCGAATTGGAGAATCGTTACGGTAAGTCGTCCGGGATGAAGGGATTGGTAAAAAAATTTTCGGCTAGGTGGAAAAAACAAAAAAAATGCGAAGAGGAGGAAGAGGTGGATGGGAAAACGACCAGCATTATCTATAAAAATCGGGATTATCGGGAAGAAAGAGAGAGCTCGATGGAAAGTTGTTCGGAATCGTCCTCGTTGCAGGAGTTCAAGATATACGAGAGTTTGGAGGAGAAATTGTGTAAACCTGAGCCTAACCCGGACTCTCCGGACGAAAAATCGTCGGTGATTCGCGATGATCATTCGTTCATGGGTGAATGTTCTAAAAATGTATCAACGAACGTTGAAAATCCTTGTAGACGATACGATCGCGATGATTTGTGGGTTCAAGATCTTAAAGATTCCAATTCTAGTCATGAAGAGCAAAAAAAGAACGAGGAAACGTCAAGAAAAATGGATGGAACGAAAGCGAAGAATCCTTATTCGGTGTTCTTTGTTAAAAGCACGCAAGTAACACCGCAAACTTCCGCCAGGCCGTTTGTTTCGGAAAGCGTAAAGAAAAAGCAAAACATTTTGGCACAGAAAAAGTCGAATCGTGTAAAGTTTCATAACAGTTCGTTGGTCATCGTTCCGAAACGATCAAACGAAAATGTGCATGAGAAATCCAAAAATAGAAATTCCGAACGTAACAAAAGAAACAAAGACATGGAAAGTGGATGTTTTTGCTTGCGATTTTATCGAATGATTATACCGGGGTCGTTTGGATCGATTTCTAAATATCGATCGAAAGCGAATGATAATTCGCCGTCGATAAAGAAGAGATCTCCTGTCTCGTTGCAAAGAAAAAAAGGTTGACGCTCATCTATCGTTTCCTGATACAATACGAATATTTGTTTCATTTTTTATAACTACATATGTACATAAATGATTAACAAATGGTTGAAAATTAATTTCGGGATCTTTTGCTTTACCTTTTTCTATATGTTTTTTTGTTTGTACATATACATCTGCGATAAATACTGCGCATTTGATAATTATGTCAACGTATTTAAACAATTCAAGTCTCTTCATGACTTATACATACATATATGTATCTTCGTGTTATATTAAAAAAAAAAAAATGTGTCTTCTAATTTTTTAAAACTAAAATTATGAATAACTGCCAAGAAATTGTACATCGAAAATCAATAATATGAGTGATAAATAGGAATATTAATGTCGTCGTTCATGTTCTTTATTTATACGTCGTTCATACATATCTCATTTATTCTCAATAATAGTGTTGCACGCTTACTTCCATCTTTTTTTTTTTTTTTTTTTTTTTTTTTTTTTTTNTTTTTTAATTTTTTTTTCCATTTCGCTTTCGCTTTTTTTTTTGCATACGAGTGAGTCTTTGCTGAAGATGCGCATTTATCGAATTTATCGCCTTAATAAAACGTTTCTTTCGCTACGCTTTCTTTAACTTATTATCGTTATTATCGTTACCATTATAGAAAAAATAAGTCTTTAAATAATCACATAAGAGTTGTCGAGCCGTCGAGGATCGTGAGGAAAAAGGAGGGTAGGGGAAAAGAGAGAACGTGTTTGTATACATACATGCATGCATACGTGTATTTTGTCAACACACATGTAAACGATTTGTAATGTATATGTAATCATGGTGTATGTATATGTTCGAATGATAATCGTGTACGTTGTGTGTACATATATATATGTACGAGTATGTGTGTTAAGTATTCAAGGATGTAGGTAACATGTTTTCCGAAATAACAGAGTGGTTGGCTCTATATTCGTATTTTCGTTTACCAGCTCCCTCGAAATAACGATGATATCGCTCTAAGCCTAGAAAAAATCTATCTACCGAGAAGACCAGTCGTTTTCGTTTTAAAACTATATATATATGTATATATATATATATATAGTTTCATATATATATACGAGGTACGCGTTACGCGTTATTCCGCTATACGGCCGGGAGGAGCTTTAATCGATTCGATGAAGGGAGGTGGTCAACGACCACCGAGAGAGACCAGCGAAAAGGAGTATAAAGAAAATCAACATTAAAGGCAACGCGTTTCCGCAATCTGCCTCGAGAGTACATTCTTTCTTTCCTTCTTTGTTTTTTTGTTTTTTTTCTAATGTTTCTAAAAAGGGAAAGGAAGCTCTCAGTTCTCGTGCTATATCCCTACATGTTCATGTGCGTATACAACTAATCGGTATGCATGGTGTATCTTATAGTATTTTTATCTACCGTAAAAGGACTATATCCAAATACTTGGTTAATTTACCATATAATCAACAAATATGAAAAAGAAAAAAAAAATCATTTAATATGATCTAAAAAAAAACTGAAATGGACCATATAAAATCAATAGCTACGAAAAAAAAAAATATATATATATATATATATAATCTAAGAAAAATTAAAATCAATAAAATAATAATAATTAAAAATTATTAATAGTCGCTCATTTGCGAACAATTAAAATTTGTTTCGCTTCAAACGACTAAGATTAACGTTATACTCTTACATCGTGCTAATCATTATAACATCTAGTAAATTCCTATACGATGTTGAGCAACCGATTATCTCAGTTTACAAAAAATATATTTATGAAGTATTTGTCATTTTTATCATTGATGAAATATAACGCCTGTATATACGTGACATCGATCAATCGTGTTAAAAATTTAAGAAACAGAAAATTGGTTACAAAACAAAAGAAACGAGCTTTGCTTTCTTCCTTCCTCTTTTAGAAACTTCGAGAAACTATATAGGTCTACTGATTCTTCAGTTTGGCCAGTTTTTATTGTATGCACCATTTTAACTTCTTGTGCTCGAATTCGCTTACTTCTTCGTCATCTCATCATCATCGTCGTCGAAGCTCGAACCATCAGGACGGGACTGACTGGGGAAACGACGTCACAAAGGAGGTGGAATGGAGAACTCTTTCCGCACGTAAAACAGAATATAAGGTTTACATTTGGCGACCGCGTCGGTGGTTGCTGGTCGTACAGAGCTATCGTTAAAGTGAAACCATTGTCCATCGTGAACAGCGAAGGCAGTGTAATGTCCAGTTCCAGCGCTAAAATGGATATTCCAATATTTATTGTCAAAATAGATATCTTAGTATCGTTATACAATAAATAAGAAAAAACTTTTTACAATATGAGAATATTTGTGAATTGTGATTACAAACTGAAATTACAAACTAAAATCCTTCTTATAAATAAATACAATATTTTGTAATATTATATTTAACATATACAATCGGTTTATGAAAGATAGAAAAGATATAAATATATAAGAATGAAAAGGTAATAATAAATAATAATATAAGAATAAATAAAACGAATAAGTTTGATTTACATAGAAGAATTAACATGGAAAAAGAAGTTAGAGCATACCCAGAACCATGATGCACAATAACGGCAGCTAAATCATACAGATGACTATTCGAAGCGCCCAATTTCGTTCCATTCACACCACGCACTGTAAATGCAGACATATCGAGTGACTTCATTGGGAAATCCACCTGTGTATCCACCTTCGAGCGATAGGAATTGCACCACCTAAATCTTTTAATGTGAAGGCACAACACCTAAAATAAAACATATAATCATCATTTATACATATATAAATACTAAAAATATATGAAATTCCATCAAAAGTTGGTTAACTAATTAATTATTAAAAAATACATAGTTATATGTTAAAAAATAAAATATATCTGAAGAATTGAAAAAAAAATGCAAAAAGAAATAATATTGCTAAATTTTTATTAAATTAATTTTATTGTAATCATAAATAAACGTAATTAATAAATGTATGCTAACATTAGGCAGCCTGTGTATCCAGAACCTCTTAGTGGATCTCTGTTTCCCCATGCAATTGTCACAAAAGTATAGTTCGCTATCGGCCAGTTCTTCAACTTTGAAGAATCTCGTTAAACTGTACGTGAGACTGCAAACCTCTTCTTGCTCTTTCGTCCGTCTCTGCAATCTGTCCGGTATATCCAATGAAAGATCCTGAAAGGGCTCGTGCGTCTTGGAATCCGTACGACAGTTCATGCAGTGGACCTGCGCGAGGAAACGCGATCCATAATTTGTCCGCGCTTCTCCCAAGAAGAAAATGAATAATAAAATGACTCTCCAAAAAAATGTTAATTCGGCACTCTCTCCCATCATTCCGCATTGAAATAACAAAGTGTAACCGGAAACGCGTTAACCCTCGTCCGTTGAACGCCGGATCATTTTAATCCATGAAGTGTCATGCATAGAAAATAGCCGGTAATAGAATATTCAAGTAACACAGATTACTCTCTTATTGAAACATTATCATTATTGATAAATATCTATAACAAGAATGTTCCAATATTAAATGTATTTAAGAAAAGTAAAAGTAAAAAGATAAATCCAAAAATATTATTGAATACATTGAATTGAATAACAAAATTAAAAGAATTATTATTATATGATAAATAGAACAGAAAAACGCGCATTAATCAAATCTAAAAATAATACTTTTATACTTTTAATAATACTAAACTTTTCTTTCTCAATATATATATATATATATCAAGGATCAAAATGATACAGCATCTGCCGACCGTAATGCAGATCAGATCAGTCCGTTATTTCGAGGGTTAAACAGAGCTTCCTCCGAGAACAATCCGGCGACTTACCACGCTAAGAAGAGTGCCTCCAAACACAGCTGTGACGATGCTTTGCTTGCCACGCAGACCGAGAGGTTCGTGTCCCAGTCTGGGCAATAATTGCAAAAGTTCCGTATGTAGTCTGTCCAACATGTAGGTGAGAAATTCATGAGCGTCTTGTTGTTGGTAGCCCCGAAATCTTGGCACGACTTTCCAGATGACGAGGAAAAGACATTCGGGGGATATCGCCTGACCGTTCGAACCGCCTAGATTCAGGCCAAGCAGAACCTTTCTCAACTCTTCCGCAAGGAGGGCGTCGCTCATGAACTCTTTTGCTCTACCGGGTGTGACGATTCGACCTCTGTGCGTGGGTGGCTCGTCGAACGGTATACCTTCGAGACACGGCATCTGCGTGAGATACTCGCAAAAATGGCTGATATTGTTGAACGATTGTAACACCACGTTCATGAAACAGGTGTTGCCGAGATTCCTCAGGCCGACGACTTTCTTTTCCTTGGTTATCTTCGAGCTCCTACGCTTTGTCGCCGGCCTATTGTCCCCGCTCGTGCCATCCAACGAATGTAACCTCTTTCGCGCTGTCCTCGGCCGAAGGTTCCTTACGACCACTTCTGCTTTCCACAGAGCGTCCGCGTCGTTATCTTCGCTGTTCTCCCTCCTCGAGGATGGCGTCGTAGATGGCGAAGTGTTCCAATTCTCCTCGTTCTCTTTGTGCTCGTCCTTACGAAAGGTGGCGCGACGTATCTTCTCGATTTGGCCACTGGTCGTATCGTTGATAACATACTCGTCGCACATGTAACTGAAACGTGCATGTCCTTTGTAAGCGCGGGCTGTTCGACGACGAAGATGGCATAGTTAAGTAATTGAAGCGCTTAAGCTGCTGTTGGATTCTTTCTTTCTTTCTTTCGGTATCAAATGTTCGATAAATGACTAATTGTAAGTAAGGCAACAACGACTTATCATCATGTAACGCATTGTTCGATCGAACGTGAGCCATTCTCGCAACGATTAAAACGTTAAATTTAAAATTCGAAATAATAAGATGAAAGAAGGAAAAAAGGATAATAATAATAAAATTTTTATAAGTTGAGAATTTCGAAAATGTTTCATATTCGTTTTTGTTCTCTAACGTTTAAAAAAAAGGAAGAAAAGGAAATATGGCTGAACATGAACTGAGCAGAACTGCAGGGAAATACGAGTGGGCGAGATTAAAAATCGTATCAATGATGAGAAGAAGAGGAGGATCGTCGATCTATGTTGCGGAGAATGGCGAAAGCGAAGGGTTTAACTTACCAGAATACTGCCAGGTTCTCACAGTCGATACAAACACAGTGTTGAGTATTTTCTTCGTGATGCTGTAATGCATGGCCTGCCACGTATCGTCCACAGTGAATGGCTCCACAGTACAGACAGAGCCACGTACTTTTCTCGGTGCCACATACTATCGACAATAACAAAGTACGTTCGATAAAAGCATTGCATTCGTAATTCGCGTTTTGTTTTAAAAAAAAAATTATCATTCTAATGTTAAAAATGATATGAAAGTAAGGAAGTAATATTAAATGGGTTAAAACAAAGATTAAGAGCAATGCTTCTCCATATTTATTCCTCTTATATCGAATTCTATGGTAATATTACTACTTTCTTAAAATAAGATAAAATTGACCCACTAATCTCATTTATTTCATATTAAAATCTTTCTAAAGATTCAATAGACATGTGCAGATTGTAGAAAGTAGGAAGATTGATAAATTAAAACTTTTATACTTCTTCTACAATTACACGATTAAAAATTACATCGTAAAAATGACATTATTTTAATATTATCCATTAAAAACATTTTATTAATTTTAAATTGAAATTGCAAAATTTATTCTTACTCACGCGTGTATTTCACGCGTAGAAAATTAATTTAATACTTTTTTTTTTTAACAAGATTCTAGATTTCTTGATTTTTATCCAATATTTGCAACTTTTATAAAATTTCAAACATTTTTTTATATTTAGCACATTTCAAAAATAAACAAGATATAAATACTAATTGTTACGAGATAATGTAAGTTCGAAGTCGGTGTACCATCTTTTCGTCTCAGCTTACGTAATTCTCAAGAGAGCGCGTAAAACCAGGGTGAATGGGAGGAAGGTAGTTCGACACACCCCCTTCGCAGTCGATCGATCGCAAAATGTCTCGCAGTGCTATCACGTTTGAGATTTTGCATGCACATTTTTTTTTTTACTTTACACGATTTTTTTTTCTAAAACATCGCGATATATCCATAATTTTAAAAGCAAGCAATGCACATGCTTAACTGATCTCATTTCAAGAAGACGCGTTACTGCAAGCAAGTTGGACGAATCGATGATAAAGTTCGAAATGTCGATTTTCTACATACCGTTCGAATCGAATTGGTTTAGATCATTTTTTTTATTCCTTTGTGTTTACTGGAATGTATACATCGCCCTACTTGATATACGTTTATTTTTAGCTATCCAAATAAACTACAATATACAACGAAAGAAAAAAAATGTAAAATTGTTAGATGTAAAAAGTGCGAGAACATGAAAATTGAGACGCTGGTCGGCCGCACGAAAAGCAACTGAAATCCAATCTTCCAGAAGCACGTATCCTATATACCTATACAGGCGTTTATTTTACAATCTCACGTAAGAAGTATTATAGTTCCACGCCCTATGCGAATTATTTTGTCCTATTTTCTTATGGAATATATAACGCATAATTTTAATTAACGAAGAGTTATATAATAAAGAAATATTGATCGAAATTACATAATTATTGTATTAATTTTTTGTAAAAATTTTAAAAATAATGATAGAAAATAATAGGAATATAATGATATATATATATATTTTAAGATTTTATTCAATTAGTATGTATGAAAGAATAGATACTTTTGTGTATCAAATTCGAAGATAGTTTTACAATGATATTTAAGACGTATTGGTAACATACGAACAATAATTTGAAACGTCATATACAATTTCTTGCATATACAATTTCAATTTTGTCTGAAAAAAAAATTTTGCTAAAAAATGAATTTTGAAAAATTCATATCACTATATTATTTTATTTTTATTTTCAAATTAAAATAATTGTATATTGTAAACAATATTATAAGATTTATTAGATTACTATAATTAAACTTCATTATCGATAGAAAAAGATAATGTTACAAAGCAATCAAGTTACGCACTATGAAACGAATCTTTTGAAAGTTGGCGATAATTCGCAATTTCACGTGGAAACATACTGTGCATCATGATATATTCTTGGAAGATCACGTCAGTGCAGCTAAGTTCGAAATCGAACGAAAATCGTCGATAAATGCGTGTATAAGTATGATGAAGCTTGAAAATTTCCGATATGTTAACGGACAATTCCAAGGTGAAACGTGAAAAAAAAAACTCGAAGGGTAACTGACAATGATCTAACCTGCACACATCCATTCTGCGCTTCTTTTACTCCTCTATCTCTTTTGTCATCGTTCTATCTCTTTCTCGCCTTGGTAACGAACGATTCGATTCGCCACGCCTACTGCGTGTTACGTCGTCGAAGAATTTCGTCGACGCATTGTCCAAGCCACGGCACAGTAGATAAGGAAAAATAACAACGACAACAGTATTAAGTTTGATATTGATGCAAGAGGAGAAGAATGACGGAAAAATTCGTTTCCCGAGCAATGCACTTCGTATCGAGGCATCCGATTAGCAACGACGCCGTTATCGATTTTGCAACGTCGTACCCGAACCAGCTTGCAGCGCAGGAAAAGAGGCAGAAGAGGGGTGAGAGAGGGGGAGAAGAGGTGTGGAACATGGGGTTCTTTTATAGCCCACAAGGGACGATTTTTCTCCTGCGTGACTCGTATGAGAGTCAGGCTTGGTAATTTTTACTAGCGTCACTCTGCTCGCGAGACCACAGGGATATTTAAATTGATCTTGCAACCTGGATACGTTGCGATTCGTCGAGCATGAACGATCTCTCGGGAGAACATGACTAGCGACGACGACGATAGTTGACGGCGAAATCGTGTAACTTTGTCCATTTTGAACGAATTCAAGGAACCGCATGTTAACATCGTACTGAATCGAATTGAGCAATCGAAAGTTCGCAAAAAAAATCCCTAGTCTGACTCATCGATCGCACTAGTATAGCTAGCTATGAAAAGCTCTCTCCTTGACTATTTGTTTCGTTCCATTATTCTTCCCTCTCCCTTCCTTTCATGTGCTCTCGTTCCTTTCTCTTTCTCACTCTTTGACAAAGATGACGAACGGAAGATGGATATACTTTGTGAATTGCGATAGATTCCTTTTGATTTTAAAACATTACAGATGTTAAATTTATTTATAAAATGTATTTTGTAATTCTTTGCTCAACGATTAATTTTTTTGAAAAAATTTATTATAATCAAATGATAGAAATGTTCAATTTTTATAAATCTCGGCCGAGATCATGCTGATTGTAAAACGCTTCTTCCTTGCTACCGTAAGAGGTCGCTAAAAGAAAAAAAATATCGTAATCCAAAATCGATTGAACAGAGGAAAAAATCTCTTATAAAATTTACTATCAATAACTATACAAAAATCCTTAGTCACAAGAGAGAGCATGTAGAAAAAGGGAGATTTAAATGGATACAATAAAAGTATTGCGCTTATTTCAGGATAAATATAGTATCAAAGATAGTGAGTAGAGTAGAGAGAATAAAAAGTCGAACGGTGGAGAAGAAAGCACATCATAACGAAAAAAAAAAATTTATAAGATTATTATTCTTTTTGATTTTACAAATATATTTTTAAACCGATTCTTAAGAAATCTTGAAGCGAATCATCAAGTAAAAATGGAAAAAATTAGGAAAAACGAAAGGCGGGAATAGTCCGGTTGAACGATGAACACGTTTATCTGGCGAGTTCTAATGACAGATCTCAGGCCAGCTGATTAGTGCCGTCTGGTATTGATTTTCCAATGACGACCGCGCCGCATACTGAGAACTCCCAGCAGGACGATGCACACGCGCACGTCCACGACGCTCTTGTCGGTCCGTAGAGAGACACCCATGAACGGAGGATACATATACATACACTATATTGTATATACACTAATACACGAAGAAGAGGAGTGGACTTTCATATACATTCGCACACATGCGTGCAAGCTTGTCGCATTCATACGTATTCACATGTACACATTCGTTTATATCGAGGAGAGATGTACATATTCGCACGAGTTCGATTCGCGAAGCATACGAACTACGGTACGTACAGTCATGCGTCCATCATCGATACTCGCGTGTATTAACTGTGAAATACAAAGCAAACGCAAACGTACATGTTGCTATACTTTTCGAAAACATGCATTAGTTTCTTTAAAGGGAAATAGAAATGGCTTGCTTCATCTTGTCGACTACGACGGCTCAAGGCCGCGAGAGGAACGGCCGGGGCCTCGGTCACGAGAGGTAAAGAAAGAGGAAGAGAAAGAGCAAGGAGAGAAACAGGGAGAAAAAGAGAGAAACAGAGAACGAATAAAGAACGCAAAAGAAATGAGTGGAAAGGAGATGGGAGACAATAGAAGTGAAGGAAAGATCGAGATCGAGCCGACGTGCAAAATAAAATCTGAAAAGAAAGGATCGGTCGAGGAACAGAGAGAAAGAGGGTCAGGTTTAATTTTCTAGATACATCTTTCAAGTTTTTAGAAGGATAAAAGTATGGATTTTTTTAAGGTCCTACCTGCACAGACGAACGGTAGATTCTTCGTACAATTCGCTTCTACGTCGTTACCGCCGAATTGGACGCTTTGAGCAAGATGTGGACACTCCATGTTTTCCTAAGCACAATTCCACGGGGCCCTCGTGGCCCCTTCGTTCGGCGAGTGCCTGCGTACGTACGTGCCTGCGTTTACAACGTGCTCTTTCTCTCTTTCTCTCTCTAGGCAAAGGAGAGTAGTGGCAGGCAGAAGGATAGGGTGGGAATGATATACAAAGAAGGCGGGGTACGCTCGGTGCCCCCTAATATCCGTCACATAGTGCGGAAAAAGATGGGTACTATTCGTTGTCTTTAACGAAAAAGAAAGAATGCAACTGTTCTCGATGCGTAACGACGACGGACTGAGGAAAACGACCAGACCGAAAAGAGCAGTGGAGTGCCCGACTGGCCCCGACTACCGACCGAACGCAACCGAGCTGCGTCGGACTCGGTTCTGCGGTGGTCGGGCTACCTCCAGAGTCACAGACCACTAATAGTCGACTGACTCGCCGGTTGTACGGTCTCTCCTCCCTGCTCCCGAGAGTTCCAACATTCGCAGGCGTGTGATTACAGCTACTCTCTCCGTTTCTCTTACTCTTTCTTCTCAACCTTACTCTCTTCACCAGGTTATGCTAGGCTACCTAGCCTTGGATCGTGCTAGGTCGCGCAGCCTCTGAACAACTTATCCAGGTCCGGCCTAAGCGCGTGGGTGCTTTGGAAGGGCGACGCATTTCACCACAATGCAGTCGCGGACTTATTGAGCGTTATCTCTTGTAAAATGTTTAACGTTCTAAACTCGACTCGATATGATATTCTGGTTTTTCGCAATTTGAACCACAAGCAAATGGTATCGCTGATAAATATGATATCAGAGATAGGATTGCTACTACTATATTTGCAATGTAAAATGAGTGACTCATTTCGTAGAAAGGAAAGCAAAAATCGTTTATGATATAATATATACATTAAAATATATATTCTAAATATTAATATAAATTACGTGTGTATGCATATTTAAGTGAATTATAATTGCAACAAAAAATCGATAACGTAGAATTTTTTACATATCGTTTTTTCTTCTATTTGTTACTTTGAAGATTATATTACAGTTATTAATACATATATAATTTATGAAAAATATCAAATCTAAAATAAATTTGATGAATTTTTAAATCAAAATATTTATTTTATTATGAAAATATATAATTAAATATTTCATATATCAATATCCTTTAATTTCTTTTATTTTATAATTTTTATAGAAGATTTAAGTCTGATGAAGAAATTAATTTTAATAACTATTATAATGTATAATGTATAATAAATAGAATCAAGTCCAATTAAAATGGCCGATTTCTGCACATGCGCATTTCTATTTCAAACTTATCATTATCTCGTAAAACACATAGATTTATATATAAATTTTGAAATTTATATATTTATATTTTATATTTATATTTATATTTATATTTATATAATATATATATATTTTTTTTAATAAATGCAATTATTTTTATTAAAAAATATATGTAATAAGATATGTTGATCTTAATTTATAAAATTTATTTTATATTGGTCTATTTCTTATCATAAAAAAAATTAATATATATATTGAGGAATGGTGTATTTTATATGGTAAAATGATAAATCATCAATTTAAAAACAAAGTTTTAGAATGTCAGCTTGCAATTTTATTGAAAAATGCAACACTAACAATCTTATTTAATATAAAGAAATAAATTTTAAGAACGTCTGCTATATGGTGGTAATTGAGATTGTGTAAGTTGAAGTCCTGGGATATTATTAAATCCAAGCATTTGTAACATTTCCTTGGTTTCTGGGTCAACTTCAATAATATCATGTTCCAAAGCAGATACTTCAGGAACATAGTTGTCTCTGCGTTCCCTTTCTTCTTCTTGCAATTTGATAGAAATACCACGTACTTGACTATGTCTAAGACGTTTCATCAAGTGAGTAACAAATCTGAAAATATTGAAATCAAAAATTAGAAAATATATTTTCATTCACTAAATTTCAAAACTTTTTGTTTTTTATATAAATTACAACATACAAATACAATAAATTCATATTAGATAATCACTTTTCAAAATACATACCCAGCGATTTTGTTTCGCAAAGATTTGCTAGGAATAATAGCGATTTCTTCGCATATCCTTTTATTTGTATGGAAGTCCATGGTTAATCGAGTATAATATTTTTCGATGATAAGTTTTGCGGCCTTTTTGACCGTCTTTGTCCTGACGCGACTCTAAAATCATATTTGCATTGTTTTTATTTCAAATTCACTCTATCTTATATATATTTCATTTATAGTTAATAAATTTAGAAATAAAATATTCGATACACTAAACACATCCATATAACCTCAAAATTTGTAAATCACATAAGTAATTAAATATTATAATACACATTACAATACACATTAATATTTTAATTCTTTCATTTAAAATTATTAACAATATATTGCTATATGATTCTTTTGTGAAATTAATAACGGATTGTTGTTACTTTTTACGATTTTTAAAATATACGCACCATGATGACTAATATTCCGTAAAGACAAACTACAAAATGGAAGAGATATAGTACCGCCACAAAGTTATCAACAGTAACGGTCAACTAGAGAACTAATTTTTCTATTTGAATTATCATCAGATTATATTTAAAATGTTCTTTAGATTAGATCTTTTAGCTTTCGAAAGTTCAAAGTAGTTTATAATTATAATCATAATTCAAGATTTTATTTCAATATTTATTCTTTTTTATTAATTATGCACAACTCTAAAAAATTATATTCATGAAATATCAAAACATTATAACCATCTAGCGATAAATTGTGATTAATCATCAGATGATAAAATTATAAAATTCTTCAGTTTGTAAAGAAGAAGATCAAATTTTAAAAATTATATAAATTATAAGCCTTGATATATCACTTGTCGGTAAACAAGAATTGTCGGTAAAAAAGAATTATTTATAATCTTATAAAAATTTAATTTTAATTTCAACTATTATTAATATTGCAATTTTATTTTAATAAATATTTTATTAAAAAAAAGTTTCTTCTAATTGTAAGACAATTTCTGTATTTCGTTTATATTTATAATATTTAATATATTCTATTGAAGATAATATAGAATAATATAGAATAATATATAAAAAATTTAATTATATTTTTATACAAATTTAATGCAATTTCTTTATAATTTAAAATAGTAACTTATTTAATAAATTAAGATATTTTTATTTGTAAAAAATTAAAAAAATTTTTTTTTAAACAAAATTATGTTGCAATTGATTGCAGTAGGTGGCGCCAGCAATATCAATACTGTTTGCAAACCAGTACCGAACGTCAGTGGCTCAAAACATGTCGTGCATCGCGTTGTCGTGTCATGGAACAAGCTTAAATACGTTTCATTTGCCTTTTTTGCGAGTGACAGTTAGTTCTTTTAAAAGTACGAATGCTTTTTATCAACTGATATCATTCAGTTGTAATAGAGCATTGATAAAATTTCAGAAAATTAAAAACGCCAGATGACAGAATACGATGCGATGTGATAGTGGGAACGAAGTGTGGCGGCAGCACTGTACATTAAACGGAGCAGCGAAGTAGAGGGAGGGAAAGTAAGAAAGATATACAATTGTAGAGTGAAGGAGACAGAGTAATGAGAGTGAGATCAAACCATATTGCGAACGCCGCGGTGCGAGAAAGACCGAAATTTCGCTCAGCAGTACATGGCAGTTGGCGTTTGTCCGTGGAAACAGGATAGTAATCCATTGGTGGAAGAAGGAGAAAGCATCGGAGAAGGAGGGCAGACTCGCGAGGGAGAGGCGACGAGTTTGTTTATCGCCTTGGTGAACGGCGAGAGCAGTCAGTGCGGTGCTACACTTGGTCTGTAGTGGTCGGAACGATCGGTAGTTCGGTTCGAAAGTTCGGCCTCGTTCTTCTGACAATTTGTTCCGAATAGTGCGTGGGTGCCGTCGTGTTTTTCTATCGCGCACATGTCAACGTCTATTTAACCTCGTCGTAGACCTCGTGCCGGAAGAACATGCCGCGAACCACTGCCAAAACATAGTCGTTCTGTGTATGTATCGTGTGCCAAAGTCGGTGACATTTGTGTCGTAGACGCAAGATCGCTGGAATTTCACTATACAACGTGGAAACTTGTAACATCGTGTGCTTACAACTTAAACAGGCAAGTATTTTTCTTATTCAGTTACACGGAAAACATAATCATCATGCTTGTTCGTCAAATTGCATACGATTTGATGTCGCATTATTTACGACTAACCTCCTGTCACTTCTACATCTATCACGGTTATGTTTTCATTATGCCTCTATATATCGACTAATATTCTTTTCAATGACCGATTACATGGCTCTTTCTCGCAGTTCTTGTTCCTGTCAGCTGACGTTACGGAGTCCTCGTGTACCACAGACTTTCTCTTCGTGAAACTTCTCCGTCCTGTTTTTTGATTAAGGTTGTACGTTTTTGCTCTTAAGGATTAATGCTAAACACGAGCATGATTTGTATTTTAACTGTCGATATTCTTTTGTGAATTTCTCCCTTGCCAAAGGTCGTTGATCTCAATTCTTTCACTTTCATCGAAAATACAGGCTGACCGTGATTCGCATACAGAATGTACGATGTGTACGCGTTGTGTAAGAAAAAAAAAAGGCTGTGAAAGCAGCAACTGGCTTTAGAGCGTTTCGCGAAGCTACGAGCATGTGTAATTTGGGCCAAAGCGAGTGGCGTGCGAAAAATCATCACGGCATGTGAGCACGCGTGTGCGAATATGTATCATATGCATGAAGCATATCGCTGAAGAAATATTACGATGTCGCGTTCTAATCATGTGGGCTTGTGTAAAATCTTTTAGTCACACCATTCTTTTCTGATCTCAAACTAATTACGGTTTCATATTTTGTACATGGAAATAATTATGAATTATCAATCCACCATTTCCGTCGCGATTGGCTTCAACTTTTTTTTTCTTTCCCCGAATTCTTCTTTACGTGCAATCTCATCTTTTCGAGAGTTCACCACAAAAAATTGCAGCTCTTTTTTGATCGAACGAGTTCAACTTGTCAGTGATATATATGGTAATATACGTGTACTTACACATATAGAATGGTCGTAATGTCCGTGTGTGGATTCTCTGTTACCTCGTTTTCCGTTAGATTTCAAATTGGAGTATGTTTACGAATGTGATTGGCTACAACCTTGTCGATATTAAGAGTACTTTATCGGCTGTATAATTTTTTTATTATGGACAATGTGATTATTATCGTTTAAAAATGATTCGTGAATTATGAAATGGTTTTTCTTTTATTATTTACTCTTACTAATCTTTTATTATTATTTTGCGAAATAATTATTAAAAATATATTCTAGAATATTCGATGATGTACAATACATGTCAAAAAGTTGCAAATAGATTATATTTAAAAATTTTTAATAATATTGACTATGTAATAATGTTATTTGCGAAAAAGATATAATTTATGACTTGTAAAGTGATTTTTGCTTTGCGAAATAAACATTAGAAACGGTAATATCTTATGAAGATATAATAAATTATTCGAAAAAGATTACAAACAGATTGTTCATGTAAACTTTGAAAGTATATTATGATTTGCAATATTTATAAAATTATTAATTTTTATTTCGTTAGATAAAGAATGAAAGTATAAATTATTTTCAAAATTATTTAATGTGAATATGTTTAATTAATATAACAAATACTAAACTATTTTTTGATTAACATTTGTTATAAATAGTTATCATATGATAGCAACTAGTTTCTTTTCATTAATTAAATATAATAAGTTCGATCATTTTGTCGTGTCAATGTTGAAGATTAAAATGTTATATAAATATTTAAATTTTCTCTATAGTCGTATTTGATGCTAGTTTAATAAAGAAATTAACACAATCTTTAATGTTAAAATTTTAAAATTTATACACGCGCTTTAGTTATTCTAGATATCCATGTGCACATTAAATTTACGAATTAACATTCGAATATTCATTAGTTTAGTTGTCACTAAACTGGTCAGACGTATGTTTGTTCAATGTTGTCGTCATCAACATCTTCCTGTACGTTGGTAATTGAATTTGGTACGCAAGATAGTTGTTCGCAAATGCATCCAATGCCGAAACGTGTTATACATATAGGATATTCTAAAATACATTAATTATTAAATATCTATCGATTTATAATAGAGAAACTAATGCCGATTCAATTTAATTTTTACGTATGATGAATAGATTTATTTTAATTTTAACGTTAATAATAAATTTTCAAAGTAAAATAAAATTTCTCAAATTAAAAAACTATATTGTGTATAGTTGTTGTATATTGTCCAGATTCCACGGTTGACTAGATTTTCTCGTTTCTAGCTATCATGGTTTTATTATTCTACTTGCAAGTCTGTAACACTTTTGTAATAAAAATAAATTGAGTATCCTGTATGAAGAACGTGTATCCCAGTTTAATATACTTTATCACATGTTAGAATACATTAATGTCAAATTAATGAAGATGAAAAATATTGATTAAAATTAATTATATATCTACATAGTTTCATGGAAATACGTTGGTTATATTTAATTTAAATCATTTAATTTAAATCATTTATTTATAAATTATTTAATCATTATTTATAAATTTATTATTATTATATGAAAATGATTTAGACATCATTGGAAATTAATGTATGTTTCTATTAATTCGATAAGATTTATATATTTTTTTTAAAAATTATATTTAAAATTAAATGTTAGATATTTCAAAAAAGCGAAATTTTTCATTTCATTAAGAATTTTTTCTATTTCTTTTATATGGTGTTTCCTTTTCAATTATGTTTCGTTTTGTGTTCCTAAAAGAAAGAACTATTCAAACGGTTGAACGTTCAATATTCAAATCACGTTGGCCTGTGTTCGTGTGTCCCCAATTTAACCGCGTTTTCAATGCTTTGTAACAAAGTAAAATGAGCTCTTGAACTTACAAACAGTTACATCTCCTTTCACGTGGCGCATAAATATGATTAATTTTAAAAGGAAACTAAATTTAGAATGTTTAACCTTTCACTTTGCTCTTTGCAAAAGACAAAAGAGTTCAGAAAAAATTCACTTTTAATTTATTTCTATGTCTTTGATTAGTTATTGCATATTCATTGTAATTACATAACTGGACGTGCAAGGATTGTACATTTAAACAAACTGTTAATTTTCAACATCGGTAAATTTTATGCAAAAAAATTTATCATTCCATTACTAATCTCATTATTCAAATTTTATTTACTCACGTATACATTTTTTTATCTCTAATAAAATTTTATTTAATATATTTATTTAATATAAATTTCAATATATTTTATCTTATCCTTTTTTTTTATTCCTACCATTTATCGTATTATTAATTTCGAAACATCCTGTATAAAGTTCCATACAGGATTTTTTTTTTTTTTTTTAATCGTATTTTACCGACAATGATATCATGATGCATTTTTTTATTTTAAATTTTTATTTCGTTTTTTTCGAATTACAATCTTCTTCTTCTTTG